GGGAAAGAAGGTGGAGCACACTTTGCATCAATCTTTGGCCCTCAGCCTCAATGACCCAGCACAGCAGGCAGCCATCTTCACAAGGCCCTTGCAGCAGTGCTGGCTGAAATCCTCAACATAACAAGGGCTGGGCTGGCCCAACCAGCTGAGTCCCGTAATTCAGAACCCCAGGGTACATGTACAGGAAGACTGCTCACTTTCTCAGGAAGACAGAGGCCTCAGTCGCTCCAGGCTCAGCCCGGGAGTCACACAGAGCACCAGACGCTGGGCCCACTGCCCAGGAACTTCTCTGAACCAAGAAGGGACAAGCCCTCAACAGCCCCCTCCCTGGGCAGGTCCAGGCCTGCTGCTATCCTGAAGAGCCCAGCATTCCCACGTGATCCGCCTCCTACCACTCCCCATCCTCCAGAAGGCAGAAACAAATGAACCCTGGGATGAGCAATGAATGCAGCAGCACATACAGGGAACAGGACACAGAAAGTTTAAGCAGAGACCCTGTGCTTTAGAATGTCTTCTTTCAGACCAGGTAAAATCAGAAGGTGACTCACAGAGGCACACCAAAGTTCCCTCGAGCCTTGCTCAAAAATCACTCTCTAGCCCTATTTAACATAACCCTACCCCCGGCCCCATATTCCCTATTCCCTTTGACTGCTTATTGTTTACAATTTTTCTAAAGCACATGTCAACTTGTAATATTCTATACAGTTCACTCTCTTGGGGGGAGAAGATCTATCTTCTTCACTAGATTGCCAGCTCTGTGAAGGTGGTATTTTTGTCTCTTTTGTTTACTGTTACATCCGCAGGGCCTAGAAGACAGTTGCTAGCTACCAGATCTCAAAGCCCTGACTGCCTAGGAACCTCCTGAGTAGCAGACCTGAACTAGGGCAGAGGGCAGGTCCATGGTTCTCCCCACCTCAGGCTTTTAGGACTCACTGACGCTTGAGGGTAGTGTGATGATGGAAACAAGAAAACTGGGGTCAGGCAGCCCTCTCTGCTAACATACTGTGCAATCTTGGGCATATTCCTTAACTTCTCTGAACCTCAGTTTCTTCATCTGTAAAATAGGAATAACAACATCTACCTCACAGAATTGTGAGACTGAAGAGATCATGTGCAAAGTAACCAGCATGATGCTCCTGGCCATCTTTTTGAAGGGTACTCTGTTATCCAGGGAGTCAGCAGTTACAACAGGCATCCCAACTATAGCATCCCATACGGGACTTGCTGGATATAAGTAACTCATTAGGGTCCTCATCCAGGTGTGGAATTACAAACTGTCCCTCCAGATTCGCCCCCAAAGGGGAAATCTTATAGCTTTAATTATTCTAAAAGATGATGAGTCTAGGATGTTCCTAGAGAATCCTTGGTTGTGGTTCTCTTTAGATACCTGGACTCCAAAGCCTTCCAAATAAGCCAGACCAAGAGACCCATTGCATCCCTGTTTCTGGGACACTTTACAAGCCCCCCACTCCAAAGGCCCGAGAAAAGACTTGGTGGTGATAACCCAGTGAATAACACAGCCACCGGTGTTAGAGCTACCAATATGCTTCTCTCTATGGACTCTAAATCCTAAATATATTTTCTCCTAGAACAAGAGGTAAGTCTCTGTGAGCTGCCACACTTACAAACCAGGTCAAAGTTGCAGTGTCTCAGCCTCCTTCCTCTCACTCACTATGGTCCAGCCATAGTGGCCACTATTCAGCTCCTCAAACAAGTAAATTTATCCCTCCTTTCCTTGGGACTTTTGTACTCAAGGTTTCCTCCACCTGGAACACTTTGACATCAGATCTTCACATGTTGATTCGTCATCACCCAGTTTTATTTTCTTCAGAACATTTAATATCATTCTCTGATATTACCTTGCTTGTTTATTTGTTAACATGCTTACTGTTTGCTTGCCCATCTTGAACCTAACCCCCACAAAAGTAGTGACCCTGTCTGTCATATTCACTACTGCATACACTGTGCCTGGAACAGTGCCTGGCCCAGAGCAGGTTTTTGACATATCTGCTGAACAAATGAATAAATGTCTCCATGAACAAACTGGAGAAGAATGAATGTCTCCAGGAACAAACTGTTTCAGGTGTGAGATCTGCACGGAAACTAAGAGAAAAGGCCCTGAGGGGGCTGACTCTTGTGAGTGCTCCTACATATGATTTACATCCATCAGGGCACCAAGTTTTAGGTATCCTCTTGCCTCAGGTTCACCCAGTCTCTCCATAGCCCCACACACTCCCTGGCAAACCCACATATAGGGCTTGCCACAGAGAGTAAAGAGGTAGCTGTGTGCTCCTTCTTACCTGATATCACAAGAACACAGTTCAGGAGGAAAAACTGTGGCTTCACATACTCCAGTCCAGTGCTTTGGAGCTAGGGATCTCAGCATAAATTCTAACAGGGGCTGAGTAAATGGAGGGCTTTCTCAGGAGAGCTGGGTTTCCCCTCCTCCCCACTAAAGCAACCAAGAGGTCTCTTTTTGGCTGCCAGATAGGGCCATTCGCCTTTCCAAGACACCTCCCACTCCAGTAGCTCCTCTTCTCATAGCACTCACCCAGGCCAGGCCCTGGCATTAGGGGTCAGGAGAAACTCCTTCTCAGAACTTATTGGATCCACAGTACCAATGGTAGCTGTGCTGGGCTAAAGCCCTGGATCCCTCTACCAAGCCAGCTAGGGAAGAGGCCTAAGTCAATTATGGATGTCTGACTAAACTGAGTTAGTTCCGAGAGGCTATCTGGGGACCAGCCTGGTCCTCTAGGGCAGTAGGGCTTAAAGTGTGACAGGTGAGGGTGGGCTTCCTGTGGGGAAAACAACAGCAAAGGGAGAACTCTGGAGAAGAGATGCGGGAGCCACTAAAACTGAGGGGTCTCTGCCCAGAGACTTCAACCTGCCTCTTCCTGACACATATCCCCCTCTACCCTACCCTCCCTGAGCTGTTTCATTTCCTTTCAGAAAACTTTGTTTTGGTTTGATATTTGCCTCTAGGCCTCTGGGAGAATTTTTCTGAGCTTTGTTTCTCTTGTTTCTAGGATACCTGAGCTACTCCTAGAGCAACAAGCTCAGTAGGAACAAGAGAGTAGGGGTGGGGGTGGGGTGAGGTTAGGATCACCAGATAAGAAGAGAAGAGAGGGAGGGAGCCTGTTTGGCTCACACAGACTTCGGTGGCTCCCAGATACCCCTGAGGTACATCAGGGAACTTTAGCACAAAGCAAAACTAAGACAACCAGAAAGAGGCCATTTGCAAAGAGAGAACTTCAAGTTTCAGGAAATCAAAAGGCTAGGGAGCAGATCGTGACCCTCTGCCCAGGACTGGCCCAAGACAAGCATACTAAGGAAATCTACCAGAGGTCACAGCGGGGAAGCTTCCATACAACACCTGGAAAGATAATGACTTGCAGGCACTTGAGCCAGGCTGGGACTTGTCCTTAGACAGAAGCACACACCCTTAGAGGCGCCAGGCCCTGGTCAGGTGCAAGTGAGGAAGAGAGAGAACAGGGCTCCATGACCCTGAGGGCAGGGACACAGGGCTCAGCAGGCCCTGAACAGCAGTCCAGGCCCTTTCCAGCCAGTCCCAGCCCCACTTCCAACAAGAAGGAACCTGGCTTTCCCAGGCAGAGGCAGGCATGAGTGGAATTCCCCTGAGGCAAGCTGCACGGGTATCGAGCAACAGAAGTCATTCATCAACTTGCTTCTGGAGAGGGAGGAGGAAACCAGCTCAGTCTCTATAGGGTAAAGCCAGTGCAGATCCCACAGTGTCCCCACCAGATATCAAATGCCAGAGAGCCACTCAGGAGAGACACTGAGCCCTGAACCTAGGGGCAGAAGTCTCCCTAGCATACAGACTGACATGTCCATAAATTGGGCTCTTGTCATTCAAACGGCAGATAGCCAGCTTAGGGAAAAAGCAGCTTTTAAAAATAAGCAGAAAGTCTACTGTTCCCCCATTTTAAAAGTAAGAGCTCTAAAGTCAGACTACTGGAGTTAGAATCACAATTCAGACACTAGCTGTGTGACCTTGAGCAAACTGTTTAACCTCTTTGAATATTAGTTTCTAAAATATGGGATGATAATAGTGTCAACCTCACAGGGCTGCTATGAGTATTAAATAATTCCCGTAAAATGCTTAACAAAGTGCCTGACACAGAACAAGTTCTCGATAAGGTAGCTTTTTTAATGCAAGATAAAACCTAAAAAATCGTACATCTGGTACAAAACCTGCACGAGTTGCTGTGAAACTCACATGGGGAATTCAGCATTCCCAAGTTGAGGATAGAAGAAGAGAGGCCTTTCCATTTTCACATTCCTGTGCCCAGCAGCAAGGAACAGAGGCTGACAGAGAGAACCAGAAGCAGGAGGGGCCCCAAGCCTCCAAAAGAAACATTTCTACAAAAGCCTAAAGAAACAATGGTCGGAGGTTTCTCATCTGTAGGAGCAGAGGAGTGAAAAGGCACAAGAGAAAAAAAAAAGAACACCAGCCCCAGAACCCCTTTTCTTCCATGGCACTGACATCTCTCAAGGTAACTAGAGTAGACAATGTTCAGAGCAGCATTATTCATAATAGCTAAAAAGTGGAAATAACCCAAATGTTCATCAACAAATGAATAAATTAAATGTGGTATATCTATACAATGGAACAGTATTCAACTACAAGAAGGAATGAAGTATTGATATCTGCTACGACATATATGAACCTTGAAATCATTATACTAAATGACAAAAGCCAGTAGCAAAAGGCCAACTATTGTATGATTCCATTTATACGAAATATCCAGAATAGGCAAATCTATAGAGACAGAATATAGATTAATAGTCGTCTAAGGCTGAGCTCTAGGGCAGAAATGGAGAGTGACTGCTAATGGGTATGGGATTTCTTTTTAGGGTGATGAAAATGCTCTAAAATTGATTGTGATGATTGCACAACTCTGTGGATATGCTAAAAAAAACACTGCAGTGTGCATTTTAAATGGGCAATTGTGTGGTATGTGAATTACATCTCAATAAAGCTGTTTTTAAAAATGACTAAAAGGTAGATATTAAAGATGTTTCTGGGAACTATATATAATATAGAGTGTCAATCTATATGTGTGAGAGTGGACGGCCAAAAAGACAGAGCCTCTACCTGGCCCTGTATCTCCATTACAAAAGTGGCACCAAAACATTAACCTGGATATATCTCCCAGAAGATACCAGAAAACCCTTGCCCACCCCAAATGGTTTAGCATGGCTACAAACCCCCATGCAATTAGACCTCTTCCAAGGCACTTACCCAGCTGGGTAGGCAACTAAACCAGATCGAGGGTCACAGGCAAGTCCTCTGCCTCCAGATACTGTTATTCCAAGCACCTTCTCCAAGGTCACCTGTTAGAGCAAGACAGAGAAGTGACATGTTATGGACAGAGTAGGGTTGGAAAGGAAGTGCTGAAGATACTCAGGACCATCCTGCACTGCTGAGTACTTTCCTGATGCCCCTGTCTTCAGGAGAACAGGCTACTGAATTCTCCAGGTTATATTCTGGCCACAGGCCCCCTAATCATACAGGTTAAAGTCAGTGTGCATCACCAGCTTTAAGAGAGCTCAATTTGCTGGTATCATGGGAAAGAAAATCAAACGGTTAAAGCTCTGCTCATGGCCATAGAGGAAAAAGCACTCCCCCAATCCAGGAAGGCTCTATTTATAAGATAAAGCCCTAGATCCCCAGACTGGGCTTTTGGGTCGATAAGACCCAGGGGAGGTCACTGATATTCGTGCCTTGGCAGGCATGAAAGAAAAGCCACTCTGATCTACCAAGGGTCAGAAGAATGTTAGGTATCAATTAGGTGACTAATAATATCCCTGATCTTTGCATTCCATCACGTTCTTCCCCTCCATCAGAGAACACCATCCCCCACCCCCACACATACACCATATGTCTGCCAGTTCATACAGACTACAAGCCTAAGAGGCAGAAACATGGCTTAATTCTGTGTTTTGCAAAGCACAGATGCTCAGAGTACTTAATTATTACTATTAAGCCACAACTCCCACAGAGATGAAAGGGAAACATGTGTAAAGTGCTCAGAGATGCTGAGAGGACATGGCCACACAAGACATTCACCATCACTCTCATCGTCACTATTGTTAACCCACATTGTCTGCAGCTCCCAGGGTGTACAGTGAACTAATTCCAAATTAGTTTACTGGTCTTTCTGCCAGATGATGCCATGTTAGATTCAGACTGCCCTGTAACCTCTTGCTTGTCACTCAACCTCACCCTCTGCTACATAAAGTCTTGCTTGTCATTCCAAGTCCAGTCTCCTCTAATATTGTCTGGACTCCCTGAACTGGCCTTCCTCAGGCATGCCCTTGGTCTTTGTTGGCTCAGAGAAAGGGGCTTCTGAATGCAGAAGGGCCATGTAACAAGCTAGACTATATTCTTCTAAGAGAGTACCAGAGGCCTCATGAGGGTCATATGAACCAGAAACACTTCATGGGCGTTCATTATCTGTGGCAGGGTGGTCTATACTTAGTCCAGGCCAGTTTCCAGCAAGGGGAAGCCCAGAATCAATTAGGGTAGTTTTAGGATCACTCCTTCTCTCTTACCGTCCCAAATGGAGAATTTAAAGTGTTCCTAGAGGGCCTGTTTAAATTCTTATCTCCAAGGACCATTTTAGTTTGAATTAGGTTGGAAAGAAATGCCCTGTGGTTGCCAAAGACCAAAATAAATCTCCTGGGACATTATAGTTAAAAACTATTTCCCAGAAAGGTCCCCAAGAGTCTTCTATGCTTCTTGGGGATGTGGATCAGGAATTCTCAGTATACTCACGGAGAGGCAGTTTAGTTCCAGGGTACCATACCAACTCATAGCCTCCTGACAAGCACCAAACTTGCCAGTTACTCTTGGGCCTATCTGAGGCACTAGTATGGGATAAACGAACGTTAGACTATTTAATACATTCTCTTTTTAAATTTTTTAATTGTTTAATTATCAAGAGAAACTATTCCTTAGCCCAAATATTCATGTTTCATAGTTCAGGAACACAGGACAGTGACAAACTTCCATGGAACTCAACCCAAAGAAATTCTTTACATTCTGAAATCATTTTATACTCAAAGATACCAGCTTTCTTCATCTCCTCAAAATCTTTCATAGAATCATTACTTCTGTAGAACTCCATGTATGCCTTCTTTCTTAGTTCAGCCACGGCAAACATAGAAAGCTGCAACTTCCAGGGATACAACGATCACTTCAACAATATAAAATTGCAGACACTTAGCCAGAAGGCCACCTATAGGAGGTTTTGTCAAAGCACTGGAAGGCATGGTAGTTTTATTCTCCTTAAAACCAAGATCCTTCTTGATGGAGAAATGGACCCTCAATACATTCTTGATAATATACCTTAACTTATGCCTTCTTCCACACTTTTTCTCGGCTTAACGACCCCCTGGCACCCAAGCACCTTTCTGAAAGGCCTGAGTACCAGGCACTGGCAGAAAGCATAAAATAACCCTGGGGAAGTATGGGGGACACTTAGTTCAGGGCACCATTCCCTATCCTGGCACTGTGCCTCTCTCTGGCTATCCCAGAGGAAGTGATGCTCGGGAACATTCCGGCTCTACCAACTGCCTACTGCAGAGAAGGAAAGGAGCCCGAAGCCACATTACCCGCATAGATGGAGAGGTCACAAAATCAAGTGCAGTGAGCTAAGAGGCTGCTCAACTCCTATTCTCTTCCAGCTAATCTGATTTCTGAAAAATCCTTTAGATTCAAATTTGCATCAATCCCTCCCTTTGCTTCGGCTTTGGTCTCAAAGAATCAGACCAGTCTATTGGTTCTCATCCTTCCTTCCCTCTGACAGGAATTTGGGAGGTGTTTTGTGGGTTGATGATCCAGTTCCACAGAGAATTCTGAAACTAGCTTGGACTTTTCAATAGTAGTCTAAAGGAGGAAGGAGACGTGAGTTACTCAGACGTTAAGACCAGTGTTTATCAAACATTTCTGACCATGACCCACAATAAGAGACACAGTTTATATTGACCCAGTATACAACACACATGTACGTGTATGCATACACATAAAACTGAAATAAAAGTTTTACAAAACAAAACTTACTCTTATTGCATGTAGCACTATATGTAATTAGTAATGTAATACTCTATTTTCTATTGTATTCTAATTCATTAAAAAATAATTCTGGTCATGACCCACTCTATTGATTTCATGACCTATGAAACAGCTGAAGCTACAGTTTGAGAAACCCTGCTACAGGCCATCTTTTTCTGCTGGGCCTGGGTTTCAGGCTCTGATCTCTGGCACCTTTGTGTTCCCCAGTTACTTTCCTCCTAGGGCTCTCAGCAGTGTGCAGACATCCGGGCTAGGGAACCCCATGGGCAGGAGTTTATCTAGGCTCAAAACTTGGCTTATTTTCAAAGGATTTATGTTTTTTGGCTTTTTCTGGCTTTCTGAGCAGCTAACCAAAGGGGAAAAAAAGGCAGTTTCCTTTGGCTCTGTGGAGGGGGAAGAGGAGGGGAAAAACATTCAGGGGCATCAGCTGGTTTTTATTTTATGTTCTAACTCAAACCAGCTTCCTGTTTGCTGGGAGGTTTTGGGCTGAGCTCCACTTTGAAAGGATCTGAGAGTTTAGAGCTCCTGCAAGGCCTCCAACATCCAGGCTTATTTTGCAAGACTCTGGCATGATGGACTTTTTAAACTGACTCTCTCCCTCTCATAACCTTCTTCATATCCTCTCTTTCCCAAATCACAGTATGGTTTCCATCTACCCTATAAAATGGAGACAAACCTGGACCCTCCCTACAAACACACCACAGGCTAAATGCACCCAGGTTCCAGCAGTTGTGTGCTGGAGCCTATTTATACTGGCTCATAAATGCTAATTGTGCACATCTTTTCCCACCTCCACATTCGGTGACAGCACAGTGGTAGTTTGAAATCACCACTGTGGGACTACTTACACCATGGAAATCAGCAAACACTACAAATCAGGGTCTTTTTTTTTCACCCTCAGAGAGCCTATAAACATTTACCAAGACACCACGAGTTAAAGCCACTATTATCTCTCATTTGGACTGTAGCTGTAAATGTTTTGGGTAGGTGTTTTGTGTTCACTCTGCTTCCGGCCTTGCCCCCTAGAGTCTTTTCCCAACGGGACAGGCCACAGTGATTCTTTTAAAATATACATGAGATCAATAATTACTCTGCTTAAAACCCTCCAATGGCTTCCCATCCCTGTTCAAATCCAAATACTTTACCCCTGTTTATAAGGCCCTAAATCACCTGGCCTCTGGCTACCTCTCTTACATCATTTCCTATACCCTCCCTCTTCCTCTCCCCTAACCACCCTGGCTGCCTTAAGCACCTGGAGCAGATTGTAGCCTCAGGTCCTCAGCATATGCTATTCCTTGGACTAAAATGCTCTTACCTCAGCTATTCACATAGCTAATTCGCTCAAGTCTTTGTGCAAAGGTCTCCTCCACAGAGAAGGCTTTCTAGACTACTTTTCTGCTTTCACTCTATACCCAAGTCATCCTGCTTTATTTTTCTTCATAGCACTTAAAGTCAGGTAGTGACCTGATATTGATTATATCTCTGTCCACATACTGATTGTCTGCCTTCTCCATCAGCATACAACCTCCTTGAGGGCAAGACCTAAATTGCTATCCCTCACTGATATACCCCTAGTGCTTTAAACAGTGCCAGGCACACAATGGGCAATGATAAAAATGTCTGATGAATAAATGAATGCACCGCAGAGGCTTCAGAAACAGTGAAAAAGCAGACATGAGAAGCCCAGGAAAACTGGGGTATTTCAGGCCAGTAGAGCTGCTCTCTCCAAAGTACTTAAAACTTGTGACAGAAAGACCACATCCAGACAAAGGTCAAGCACAAACGGAGCTTAATGGTACAGGTAACATTTTGTTTCTTAAGTTGATGATGGACACACAATTGTTCAATCTAATATTTCCCATGTCTTTATGGTATGTATTAAATATTACACAGTAAATGTTAAAAAGAGAAAAAAACTTTGGTCCAGGATGTGGTGTGGGGCTCAGTATCTCATGAGCAACATCCTCCTATAAATCACATCTCTGACTTGTCTCTCTATCCTCAAGCCATTTCATTGACATTCACTGATTCAGCAATGTGAGGGAAAACGGTATCAAGAACTCAAAAAATATGTGTTTTTATTTGATTTAAGTTTCTCATTTAAGTGCTCATAAAGCTGCACATTTTTATGATGCTCTAACATGCCACTCCCAGTGAAAGCTCTCAAGAACCACTGGATACACAATCCTTCTTCTGACTGCTAAGCATGGCAGCAGGTGATGAGATGGGGCAGCCTCAGCCCAGATCCCTGAGTAAC